TCCCCGCTCCCCCTGCCCGCCCCCGCCCCCGCCCCCGCCCCCGCCCCCCAACTCGAACACGAAAAGTACGAATAATTCGTAGCCGCAATCCGCGCGTCACCATGATCTTGTAACGTACAAACGAAAATATGTAAATATTGTAAAATTAGGAAAGTAAAATATAATCTATATTACATAGGAACTTACTCTTTATTACCTGTAGACTAAAATGTATTCATAATTTTCAGTAAAGCTTGACCAGAAAAAAATAATAAAAAAGAGTGTTGCCTCTTAAAGAATAGTTCGTGGAACATATAGAAAAAATTAAGACATTCGTGAATGAACATACGCTGAGGGTTGGATGTACATACAAATTATTACACAATTTGCTAATTTATTATTTATAACAGAGAGAGAATTGCACAAGAACATTCGAGGAGCTGTGAGTTGTGATGTATATCTTAAGTGTACATATTATCAATAAAATGAACAATCGTATAATTTTGTTTGTTTTATTTAATTCTACTATTTAAACCCACCAGTTCTCTAGTTTTTCCTACTGAACACTCCACAAATTTTAGCAAATTTTCTCAGGTCTGATACCAGAAGAACCCGAGATATCGAATTCAATATTACCGTAGGAATTGTGTGATGGCGCATCTTCTCGCTTTATTTAATCTTCAGCCAAGTCAATATTTATCTGTGGTAAGTAATTTTTGTTTATTATCTGTGGTATATCACTGGTTAAAATTAAAAAGTCAAAAGTCAAAATCACAAAATGTTATAAAACATGGCTGATTTGATTGGCAAACTTACATCGTGATATTTAGACGTTACGTTATAATAGTATTAGTTGATTTTGTAAATTTAGTGATAATAAGGATTAAAAAGTGAATAAAATATAAGTACTGTAAGTTTTTTTTTAAATCTTGCGAGTGGCGACAAAATTAATGATTATCAGCGTACGCGTCACATTGACATAGTGAGAAAGTGTTGGGAAGTCGCCTCGCGAATGAAGGCGTAATTATTTTCTGTGATTGTGCGATGTCGTTTCCACCTCGGCCTCCGATGGTGCCTTACGGGATCGCTCCAGGGGTAGTCACAATGCCAATGGCCACTCATGTGAGTTACCTCGCAAAGCGGCACTCTTAAATCTAACCTGAAAAATATTGTTTTGAAATAGTTTACTTTGTTAGAGATCCTCATTGTTCTTTTAACAATTTTCATGGAATATTGTTACAAGTTACGATACGCTATTTTAATTGAGTTACATCTTCCTGGATAAAATCTCTGAAATTATAGTAGAAAAAGAATAAAGTATGAGAAAGGCTACATAATGGTAGCGGTCATAGTAATGTTTTCAATGCCCCAGACACACCTTCATAAAATAATAATATGATTTTGTCTGTGTGATCATTCCAAGAATGCAAAAACCTTGAGGATGCCCATTTGATGCTGAGTTGTGGATTTTTATCTGGATGTTACCAAACCATGGTTATATCTGGATCATATAGGTGTTTGTTGTTTGTCTTGTATTGTAGATTGTCCTGCATGGTGACATTTAAAATATGAATTTTACAAATTTAAGAAAGTTCTATACCCTCCACTCTCCCTCATTTTAATTTTAATGTCCTCGTCATAATGATGTGACAGCATCCTGTCATTGGTTTCTAGGTGACCTATTGGTGCACTACCAAAGCATTTTACAGTGGTAATGTATAAAGCAGCATAGACTGCTGCAAGAATTACTTGTTTTACCGGTGCAATGCTACGAGTACACATAATATATGTTTCCAGGTAATGGTGGGAGCGTACAGTGGCACAGTGACTACGGGCGGGGGCTCAGGCCGTGGTGCACTGCTGCCCGCACCCAAATCTGGCCGTACTGTGCCAAGACACACCAATGGTAAAGACCATGATGGACCCGCTGTCACAGTCTTCATAGGTAACCTATATGTTTATACTGTCCAAGTGCATTCTCACCTATTAGGTAGAAATTGTGATAAAAAATAAGTTAGTAAATTAAACATTTACAGATACAAAAATTTGATAGATAAGAGAATACTTAATGCAATTTGCCTTTTCATTGACTTATATTTCATCATGTGTTACTACAACTATATAAATAATATACAATAAATAATAATATACAACCTGACTTGCCAAAAAAGTGCAAGACGCTTCTCGAGACATGCCGCACTCAACGATATCATACGTCGGTCTCTTGCCACCGTTAACGTGCCAAGTCTACTTGAGCCGACTGGTGTAGCAAGAGACCTGACGGTATGAGTTTGATTCCATGGAAGATGGGTCGGGTGGTGGTATGGGATGCAACCTGTTCAGACACGCTGGCCCCTTCCCATCTATATGGAACCGACAACAGAGCGGGTGCGGCTTGTGAAGCGTCTGAAAATGCAAAAGCATGCAAATACAGGGGTCTAGGCTCCGAATATCATTTTGTCCCATTCGGCGTCGAGACCCTTGGTCCGTGGGGTCCTAGCGCTTTAAGACTTTTTAAGGACATTTCCAAAAAAATTATCGACATCACAGGGGACCGAAGAGCTGGCAGCCACCTCGGTCAAAGAATTAGTTTAGCTGTACAGAGGGGGAACGCTGCCAGTATCTTCGGGACCTTGCCTAAAGGGACTCCTTTTAATAACATATTTTAGTGAATTATTTGTGTTTATTTTTATATTTTATTGTATATCATAGATTTAAGACAATATGTAATTATAGAGATAAGGATGTATAATAAATTCATAAAATAGAAAAAAACTATATAAACATAGCTACCATTTACTAGCTCACTTTATCTGACAATTTTGACAAAACAACTGATGTGAGGAATTTGATGTTCCTCTGTTTAAGTATTATAATTGAGGGTTTGTATGGAATGTCAGTATCCATGTGCGCAGGCAACATCAGCAGCCGCGCGCCGGAAGCGATGATCCGCGCGCTGCTGTCTGCGTGCGGGCCGGTGCTCAGCTGGAAGCGCGTCTCCACCTTCGGCTTCTGCGAGTTCGCGGGCCCCGAGGCGGCGCTGCGCTGCGTGCGGCTGCTGCACGACTTCCCGCTCGCAGACAAGAAGCTGCTCGCCCGCACCGACGGCAAGATGCAGGGCCTCGTGGACACATACAAGAGTGGGTGCACCGCCTCCAGTCCCACGCGTTGTGTGACAAGTGATGGTGCTAAGTGTATGATTGTGTACGGTTGCAGCGGAGCAGCGGTCGCGCATGGCAGGCGAGGAGGCAGGTGGTGCGGGGGGTGCTGGGGGTGCGGAGGGGGCGGCGGGCGAGGCGGACTCGTACCTGGACGCGGCGCAGCGCGCGCTGGACGAGGCGGCGCAGCGCCGGCTGGCCGACATCGTGCGTGACCACCAGCACGAGATCAACAACTACGAGCTGCTGCAGCAAGGTGAGCGTCTCCCGCAGACTCGGTACAGTAGCACTGTAACGGTAACAGTAACAGTAACGGTGTGTGTGGTGCGCAGAGGAGGCGATATCGAAGACGGCGCGCGTGCTGGAGGAGGCGGACATCTCGGAGGAGAAGCGGGACGTGATCCACCGGGAGATCGGCAAGTTCCGCGAGAGCATGAAGGTAACCGCGCTCCTCTCTGCCTGTACCTTCTTGTGAGCTGCGACATGACTAGCGATTCCATTTGTGTTGTTTGACGAGCAGGAGCGATAGAGCGATAGAGCGAGCGCCATGACCGCGGTAGTCACCACGGGTGAGTCACGTAGGGCCTAGGTATGTCTGGGGCGGGGG